CCCCCCCCCCCCCCCCTCAGTCCGCAATTTGAAAGTGTTCACTTACACACTCTGCTTGTGACTGGCTTCCAGTGTTGGGCGTCTTCAAGTTATTTTAGAAAGGTTTTGTTTTTTTACCAGTTAAATTCTCTACTAGACGCTAACGGGATACTTGAGAGTGAGCCTCACCTTTCAGGGCAGGGAGAAAACATTTTCTTAGAATACATTGTGTGGGTGGTTAGCGGGTGCTCTGGTGTGGTTTGCTCCTTCTTTCCTATCAAACATCTATCGTCCTTATCTTCCATCCTTCTTTTTTGTGTTTGTTACTCTCTTGTAACACGTCTAATCTTTGGCACTTATATGACCTTATTGTGTTGCAAGTGCCGTAAAACTCTTACTAAAACTAAACTAGAGTACATCGTGATCTGTCCACAGAAAGGGTATTCTTTTGTTGCTGAGGCGAGGACTGTAGAGCAGCCCATAACCTCCGGCAACTGGCGCATGCGGCTGATTGGGTCGCTGAACGCGTTGCCGGTGCCGCAGAGTGGGGAGGTGTGCTGTAACTTTGTCACCAAGGAGATCCGGGACTACTACGTGCCCAACGTAAAGAACACCATCTTCAGGTGAGAGGACCGGCATTTCATTACCTTTGATTTAAGACTAGAAGACTGTCTGGCATTTTATAGCATGTAAAAACTAGAAGACTGACTGTCTGTCTGTCTGTCTGTCTGTCTGTCTGTCTGTCTGTCTGTCTGTCTGTCTGTCTGTCTGTCTGTCTGTCTGTCAAGCTGGTTGTATGTGGGCCTCTCTCTTTGTTCTTGTTTGTGTGTTTACCTCTCTGTTTGTCTGCTTGTGGGTGGTTGGTGGGTGCTCTTGTGTGGTTAGCTTCTTCTTTCCTATCCAACATCTATTGTCCTTATCTCCCCTCCTTCTTTTTTGTGTTTGTTACTCTCTTGCATCACCTCTTATCTTCAACACTTCTATGACCTTATTGTATTGCAAGTGCCGTAAAACTCTTACTAAAACTGAAAACTGTTTGTCTGTTTTTTCATCCTCCTACTTACTGACCATATTATTTATTTGTCTGTCTGTCTGTCTGTCTGTCTGTCTCTGTGTGAGTTTGTTTGTTTCTATGTCTTTTTCTGCTTGTGATGGGTTTTTGCTCTTGAATGTTCTGCTCCTTCTGTTTTGTGGGCAGCAGCTTTGTTCTTTTCTGACCCCTCTGTTGTTTCTGTCTGTCTTTGCTTTTACCCTGCACTTTACGGTGTCAATTTGCTTCTCTTTAGTCAAACTAAAACAAACTCGTGTTTCAGTTCTTTCTCCCTGTTCCCTGTGTATCTTGCAGCTGTTACTGACACCATTTCAACTGCTAAGTGTAAGACTCCCGGCTGTATGCCATTTTGAAAAGTGTCCCCCACCAGGGTAGTGCTACTGACTGAAGTGTCTTTAGGCCATTCCCAAGGAAGGGATATTATTATTAACATGTTCTTATGCACAGCAGAATTGTAAAAGGGCTGATTTATCAATGCCTTGCTCATACTGTACCCCGGAACAACATACGGGGAACTGCTGCTTTTTCTTTCCTAATCATTACCATCGTCTTTTTTCCTGTACTTTTTTTTGTATGTTTGTTACACTCTTGTGACCCGCTTTTTGCGGGATGCCTTGATAGTCGAAGCAGACTTTGTGCTGTTGAAGCTAGACAGGCGAGCAGAGTAAGTCTGATTCCCTGTAAGGACTTCTCGGGCTCATATGACCTTATGCAGTTGTGAGCGCCATAAAACCTATCTTAAAACAAACAAACATAAAACATAACTATACTTGTGGTGTCCAGGCAAGCGGTCAAAGTGACGGAGGACCACTTCAGCAGCCTGCAGGTGAACACGTCCAAGCCCGACGTCTACATCAAGCTGTCGGTACTGGACAACGAGGAGGAGGTGATCAGCGCCGTGGGGAAAGGTCACGTGGTCATCCCAGCCTTCACCTTCCTCAAGGACATCACGCAGGAGGACATTGAGAACAGGAGGTCGAGTTCTCGTGCATGTAAGTGAATGCTTTCTTGTTGTTATTCTAATTGGTTCAACGGGCCCTTTTTATACAATTATTGTGATGGTTTGTTTGTTTGTAAGAGTAAACAGAAGCACATCCGTAAAATAACGGTCATTAAGTGCAAGAAAAAAAAATAAGATAGACAGAAACAATATGGGAAAGAAAAGAAATAGGACCTTCCACAGTGCCCTGCGTCCTCCCACAATCATTTTGAGTAGTGTTCTACCACTCTTGACAGATGAATATAAAGGGTTTGATGCTATTCCAAAAGCTATCTTTGAAAATGAAGTCTCTCTTTTTTATTTAAAAAATAGGAAAAAAACTGAAAGGGCACATTCTTTTTCTCCTCAGGAAGAGGTTTGGGTTTTAACATCATGTTATACTTCACACATTCCTAAAACTGTTCGACAGTTACACGCAGCACATAACACAAAATGTCACCCCCTTTAACGTGTCTACGAACAATTTGACTTCACAAACCCACCCTAACACGAGTGCTGTTGTGCAGCACTGCTATATTTTATTAATTAATGGACATGAATGCAGTGGCTCACTATATAGGTAGACCAAAATTATGCTGAATGAGACCTAAAAAAAAATAATTCCATTATCTTGAACCCATGGTGTGACCATAGTGCCAGAAGAGGAGGAAGGTGGTGAAGATGAGCCGGAAGGACAAAAAAATCAACCGACAGAAGACGCGGGTAACCCAATCAATGCTTTGTCCTTGGCTTTTGTTCAGTTTACAATTTTCAAATCTTTTCAAATCATGCTTGTTCTTGCAGTATTTTCATGGCTTTACACAGTTGTGTCGCTGATGTAGGCGTTGGGTTTGTTTTCAATTAGTTTATTGTGAACTGCTCGAAGAGATGAAGAGATTTTAAATGAAAATGTGTTAAATGAACAGGTGTTAAATGAACAGGTGTTAAATGAAGAGGTGTTAAATGAAGAAGTGTTAAATGAAGAAGTGTAAAATGAACCGGTGTTAAATGATCAGGTGTTAAATGAAGAGATGTTTAATGAAGAGGTGTTAAATGCAATCTCTTTACTTTGCTGATAGACTGCCATCAATCTGTTTTGTGAGTTCTTGGATGCTGTACTGTAAGCCGACTATCCAGAGGATGTGTTTCTGATGATTTTTGGAATCTCCAATATCTGCTTAATCCACACAAATCTGAGTGGAGTACTTTAAGTCAACCATTTTAATAAATTGTACTCATTTTTCATTGTGTTTACAGTTATCAAAATATTACCACTTGCCTGCCTTTTGTCCCTTCTACCATGAACCTTATACAGAAAGAACATCAGAAACAGTGATTTGTTGGCTTTGTCCTGAATATTACTATTTGTTTGACCTCATCTGTTCACCAGAAAAGTTTTATTCTGCAACATACACACCTTGTTCAACTGTCTTCTTTTTATATTATTCCCATTTGAGATTTATATGATTGTTCTATTTAATTATTTTGTTAAATTGTTTTTAATAACAATTATTAACAGCTTGATAAAAGCAGCATACTTAAAACTGTTCTCTTTGACTGTTGTCGTAAGGAACTTTGTGCTTTGAAAGAAGTCCACAGAAGTGTATTATCACCAACAGTCTAGCACAGATGGATGCTGTCATTACCACATTGGAAACACTGGTCTATTTGTCAGACCCACAAAAACAAAATTTTACAGTAGAAGGAAAAAACTGTGTCAATTCATCTAACAATGTTTGTTAAAAATCAAAGTCGGAATGTTGCACTGGCAATGTTTATTGAGCTACAAGTCTAAAATTTTGACACAAAATCCACAATGTTACATTTAGTAGAAAGAATGGAAAACAAACACGTTTTTTGATATGGTGTTACAGGGTTGTTGTACTGAGGCAGCGATATATGTGAGGTGGGCTGACAAAATGAGTTACTTCTCGCAATCCACAAAAGGAGATATTGGCCAAAAATCGACACAAGGATCAAATT